CTCGTGAGAGGAGCTAGCTGATCGAAAAAAATATATATATATATATCATCATCTTCAACACGAGTCCTAGAAGCAAAGAGAAGAAAGCCATGGCCAACAAGGAGATGAAGGACAAGATCGATAATCTCGATGTCCAAGTCCGAAGTATGAGCGAGGCTATGAATACCCTAGGCGAGGGTCTCGATACCAAAAAAGGCGTCCGTTCGTGAATTGATGGAGATCATGAACCGAAGGTTCGATGAGATGGCACGCAACATGTTGGAGCGCCAATCACCGCCCCGACGGCCCAATCGCGATCGGCTCGAACATGAAGGACGACGCGAGCGCAAGCATGATGATTACCACGAACGGCGGTGCGAGGATCGAGAGCTCGAACGACGCCACGACCGTGAGCAACACAAAGAGGAACAACGACATGATGAGCGCGAGCGAGACGTGGACCGCGAGCGCCGGCGCGAGGAGTACGAGCGGGAAGACGACTTCGACCGACAGTCCCAGGCGTCTAACCACTACGACCGACCGAAGCCAGAAAAACCAAAGGTCGTGTTATCCACCTTCACTGGTGCAGATCCCGATGCATGGCTCAACCGGGCTGCCCAATATTTCGAGCTGAATGAGATTGAAGGAAGCGATCGGGTAAAGTACGCTGCCTACTATCTTGATGGAGAAGCCAACGTGTGGTGGCAGTGGCTTACAAGCGTCTACCGTGGCCGACGACAAGTCATCAGGTGGAACGACTTCGAGCACGAGTTACTTATGCATTTCGGAACGTCCGACTGCCACAACTACAATGAGGCGCTATCATGCATACGGCAGACAGGAAGCTTGCGCGACTATCTTAAGGAGTTCGAGCGATTGGCATGTCGCGTACCAAGCTGGCCCGAGACTGCATTGGTTGGGGCATTTATTGGTGGGTTGAAGTATGATCTAGCCGCGGAGGTTCGCTTAGAGCGACCAGAATCAATGCATGCGGCTATGGAAGTGGCCCGACGCCGAGAAGATCATCTTGTGGCAACTCGAAGGGGACGGACAGATGCACGTTACCCCGAAACACGACGCGCACAACCGGATGCAAGCGATATGGTTCCGAGCGGCCGACCACCTGACAACTCTCGATTGACCAATAGCGCACGACCACTGAGACCAGAAGTCAAGCACTTGTCGCCCGAGGAAATAAAGCGCCGACTTGAGAAGGGACTCTGTTTCAAGTGCAACGAGAAATTTACGCCTGGCCATCACTTCAAGCAGGCTTTTGTCATCCACGTCATCGATGATGAAGAGCCCCAGATCGAGGAGGATTGGGAGCAAGAAGTCGAGATTGAGGTTCCCGAAGAGGAGGCCGAAATCTCGATGCATGCGATGGCTGTACAAGAGGACCGACGACGATGCGGCTGCCGGCGTTGGTCAAGGACCGTCGTGTAGTCGTGCTAGTAGACAACGGATCGTCGCACAACTTCATCAACGCCGATCTATCTCGAAAGTTGAAGTTGCCAACGATGAAGGTCGAACCATTTGAGGTCCGAGTAGCCAATGGAGAACAGCTAAAGTGCTCGGAGGCTTATCGTGCGATACCGATTAAATTTCAAGGAGTCACCATCAAAGCCGATCTCTATGCGCTACCCTTGGTTGGACCCGACGTTGTGTTAGGAGTACAATGGCTCGAAGGTTTAGGAAAGGTGACGACCGACTACCGAACTGGGGTCATGGAGTTCAACTCAGGGGAGCACCGGGTCACGTTAAAGGCAAGCAAGGACTGTGGGATCAAGGAGGTTGGTCTCACGAGTATAGAGCAGGTTTGGCATGTGGGCGGTCAGATTTTTACCATCGAGAAAGTAGGCACATACACGAGCATGGTCGAGCATGTCTCAACAGAATATGATGGCCCACCTATCTTCGACGTGTACCCCGAGGATGAACTCATGGACGACGAAGTAGTCGAGGAAGCTGAGATCAAGGAAACCGAGGTCGAAGGCGAGGTGCCCGAGATGTGGGCGATCGAGCAGCAGCAATTTGAGAAACACGAGTTGGTTAGAGCATCCGACCACGTATTAGGCGAGTCAGACAAGGAAGAAGGTCGTGACGACGCTAAGTGTAAGGAGCCTATCCTTATGTTTGAATTCTCAAAATATTTTAAGGACCCAAAAGATGACGAGTACATAAAGGAGTCAACGGGTTATTAAGGACCGCCTATCTTCGATGTATATCCCGATGAGTACTTTGTCGAGGTTGAAGGCATTTGGGCCGAGTCCAAAGAAGATGTTGTGATCGAGGTGATGATGCCCCAATTAATGGTCGATGATGAGTCCTTGAGGACAAGGACATTCTTAAAGGGGGCGGGAATGATACGGAAGTGGGTATGGACCCCCGATGATGAGAAAGGCCGAGGGCCGAGGCTAATGGACAAGGCCAAGCAAAGGGCGCAAACAAGGCTAGCATGGCCTAGGAGATGTGCACGAGCACGTATACGAGGGTACCGACGTGCACAATGGTATAGGAGGTCGAGCAAGAAGCTCAATAGATCAAGGATTGAAGGGTCGAGCGCATGG